GTCTAACAAAAATAAAAATAAGAAAGAAATTAAGGACTTAAACACAATATTAGAAAACTTAGATTACGATAGATTTCTGGCAATTACCAAATAAGAATTGAAAACTTTAAAAAATTGAAAACAAGATGATACCACTCAATGGCAGAAAGTGAAGAGGAATTAAGAAGCTCTTCATGAGAGTGAAAGAAGAGAGTATAAAAGCTGGCATGAAGCTTAACATCAAAGAAAACCAAAAAACCCTAAGATCTTGGCAACTGGTCCCATCATTTCCTGGCAAACAGAAAAGAAATGGAAGTAGTGTCAGATTTTATATTCTTGGGCTCAACAATCACTGCAGATGGTGACTGCAGCCATGAAATTAAAAGACACTTGCTCCTATGAAGGAAAGCTATGGCAAATCTGGACAGCATACTAAAAATCAGAGACATCATCTTGCCAACAAAGGTTCATATAGTCAAAGCTATGGTTTTTCCAGTAGACTTCACAGTATGGCCGTGAGAGTTGGACTAAAAGGAAATCTGAGCACCAAAGAATTGACGCTTTTGAATTGTGATGCTAGAGAAGACTGCTGAGAGTTCCTTGGACATCAAAAGATCAATTCAATCAACACTTAAAAGAAATTAATTCAGACTGTTCACTGGAAGGTCAAATACTGAAACTGAAGCTTAAAATAGTTTGGCCATATGATGAGAAGACAGGACTCATATTGGGACCCTGATGTTGGGAAAGATTAAAGGCAAAAGGAAAAGGGGATGGCAGAGGATGAGGTGGCACCATAGAAACAACAAATATGAATATGGACAGACTTCGAGACATAGTGGAAAATAGAAGGGCCTGGCATTCTATGGTCCATGGGGTCACAAAGAGTTGGGCGTGACTGAACGAATGAACAAAAAAACCCCACTACATCATAAAAACTTTATAAAAAAACAAAAAACAAATAAGAAGTACTTCCTTAACTGATCACAATGTAATAAAAATATATTCAATAAAGATTACTTGAAGAAAAGATTCAGAAGTAAATGGAGAATAAAATATTTTCATCCTAAAAAAAACAGCTCAAATAGGAAAAAGTGAGTAATTTGGAACTCTACTTCAAAAGTCACTAATCAGTGCCTATCCTTTGACCTAATGATATCACTACTTGGCTTATACTACAAAGAAAACAAAGAAAGAGGGATGGGATGTATAAGTATAAAATTTTTCATGGCAGCACATTTTATTATATCAAAAACTCAAAGCAAAGTGGGTGCCCATCAACTGGGGAATGGCTGAACAGATAACTGTATATTAATATAATAGAATTGTACTGTCCTATAATAAGTGATTAACGTGATGATCCCAGAAAAATCTGGAAGGTTTTATATAAATTGATGCAAAATGAAGTGTGCAGAAGCAAAAGAGCCACTTATGTAATGATTGCAACATTTTAAAAGAAATAAATCATGAAAAAATTAAAGACTCTAGTTAATCAATGTAAGAAAAACCTGTCTACACTAGATGCCTTCACTTTCTCTCCTTTTACTTACTCCTCAACCCTTTGCAATTTGGTTTCCAGCCTCATCACTCAAATGAATCTGATCTCTCCAAAGCTACCAATGATCACTCAAATGAATCTGATCTCTCCAAAGCTACCAATGATCTCTTAATTGCCAAATCTGACATGCTTTTCTTAGTCTTCATTCCTTCTCAGCCAATCTACTACATTTGACATTACAGGCCATCCTATCCACCTGAATATTCTCTCCACTCTGTGACCGTACTTTCTCCTGGTTCTTCTGCTTGTCCGACCTTTCCTTTTCAATCTCTTTTGAAGACTCATTGTCTATATCATACTCCCTAACTGTAGATGTTCCTCAAAGTTCTGTCCTATTCCTCTTCTCTGTCTACACTCGGTTGGTAAACTCATCAGTTATGATGGGTTTATCTATTATCTCTATGCAGATAACTCACATATACATATAGAGTCCCAGTCTCTACCCTGAGTTTCACTCCTAAATTATTAATTGCAAATTGGACATTTCAAGCTAGATGTCCCAGAGTTACTGCAAATGCAATGTGTTCAAAACAAAAATTATCTTTACCCCCAAACTCTGGCCTTTCCCAAACTTCCTTATTTCTTTCAAAGCCCTCACTATCCTAATAGTTTCCTCAGTTTACATACTTAGCATTATCCTCAAAACCTCCCTCTCTGTTACCCAACAAAACCAATCAATTGTCATCTTGTTGTTTTTACCACTGTAATACCTCTTGCATCTGATCTGTTCTCTTCATTCACATGGCTAGTACTTTAGTTCAATCTCTAATCAGTTCTAACAAATTATTTCAGGGGCCTCTGTCTTGGCATGCTTATCTCAAGTCTCTCACTACTCTAGAGCATCCTATACTCTACTTCCAAAGTACTTTTCCTTAAGCATAGATCTGACCGTGTGACTTCCTGAATCAATCAAATCCAGTGGCTCTAAGACAAGGGTTTGTAATCTAGAGTCTGAATTTTTTAATACTATTTTGATCATTATATTTCAATATAATGGTTCCCTTTGTAATACTGTGTGTTTTATTTTATGCATTTTGAAACTCTATTCTATGAAGGGGTCCATAGGCTTCAGCAGACTGCTGCACACACAAAAAAATGTTAAGAACCCTTGCTTTAGGATAAAATGTAAATCCTTCTGTTTAGCTTTTAAATGCTTTATTTTATTTATTTATCTTTCAAGCCTTATTGGAAGTTATTCCTCCTCCCACATACTGCAATCCAGCCAAACTAGCTTTCTTAAGATTCCTCATGCATGACATTGCATCTCCATCTCTGTCCCTTGGCACTAGCCATCCTCCCTCCACACACTCCACTCCTTACCCCATGCCTCCAATGCATTCCCTCCTGAGTTCTGCCTTAAGCACCATCATCTGCATGAAGCCTTTCCTAATCATTTCACCTGCTACTGTCCTCCCTCCCAGACTACTTTGTATTTAACTTCTTTGTATATATTTGTATTTATTCATTCTACATTTATGCCACACATATTTGTATATGCACTTCTTGTCTCCCCCATTAAGTGGACAGCTCATTTCAAGTAGGGATTTTTTCATTCTTTGTACAAATATCTCTGGCACTTAGCATGGTGCCTGACACTGCCCTTAATAAGATCTTTTTGAATACTGACTCTGTTATTTAGTAACTATGACTTCATGTCATCTGAAAATTTGATAAGCTTACTATCAATGAGATCCAGACTGCTTATGCTGAGATATGATAACTAGTCTTAAGCGCAAATTAAACGAAAGGATTATTTCTACAATACATTCTAAAAACAACAGACTTGTTATTTCCTAACACTAGTATCTGCAAAATAATCCCAAATGATTTGTGATCTACTCACCACAGAGAAAAGTTACTGAATACTTTGGGTTCTTTGTCAGTCTGGAAAAAGATAAATTCTCAGTTTACCCCTGAGGATCAATACTCTTTTAAGATTGGTTATTGATATTTTAGAATGATAAATGTTAGAAATATAAGGGACATTAATACCATCTAGTCCAATCCCTTATTTTACTAGAGAAGATACAGACCCAGACATAAAGTGTCTAGCTAGTTAGTTGGTGACAGAACCAGGATTCAAACACATTTCTCTTGATTCCCTAAGTTTCTTTCTACTACATCACACTGCCTTCTTTAAAAGGCAGTTTTCTGGGGTCAGCTAGGTGGTGTAGTGGATAGAATACCAGCCCTGAAGTCAGGAGGACCTGAGTTCAAATCCGACCTCAGACCAAATACTCGATGCTTACTAGCTGAGTGACCCTGGGCAAGTCACTTAACCACAATTGCCCCCCAAAAAAAGGCAGTTTTCTAACTTCAAGTCACCATCTTACCTCCATCCTTCCCATTTGGAAAGTTCATTGTCTTCATATTAAATACACTAATTTCTAACACTAGCTTCTTAACTTAATGATGATTAATAAGTCCCAAAAACTCAAGGGATTTAGAGCTGGAAGTACCTTAGACATCAATCAGTCCAACTCTCTCGTTCTACCCGTTAAAAAAAAGTTGAAGTCCCAAGAAATGATGCAGTTTGTACAAAGACACACAGCTCCTGAGTAGCAGTGCCCAAACTGGATCTATATGATGCAAGACATCTGGATAAAAGCAGAAATCTTCAATACATTTTCTGAATTTATATAATGATCATAATGCCAAACACTTGGATATTAAGAAATAGTTAAATGCAGAGCCATTTTCTGCTACCTCACACTGAGATTAGATGAATAACACAGCCTTTCCCTTTCAGTCATAATTTCTGGAGATTTTAACAAAAAAGTAATTGATTTGGTGTCACTAATAAAGTATGAGAGTCTATTTAGACTATCATGTACATCAAGGAAATGAGCAGCCCTGCTGCTGCCCAACCTTTATACATTTGGCAGTTTGCTCTTTTTGAAGGAAACAAATGACACGTGAAAACAATCACAGCACAAAGTAGAAATAATTTAAAGGATTGAGAATAGATCTTGGGGAAAGTACCAACAAGGGAACAACAAAAATGGTGGAAAACATCGTTTTGTATGTATCAGATATCTCTAGCTAATATAAGTAGAATCAGGACACTTTGGTTCGAATTCTGGGTTTGTCACTTAATATCTTTGCCACTTGATCCCTTTACATCTCTGGGCCTCACCTCCTTCATCAGTAAAGCAAAGGGACCTCACGTGAACCAAGTGATCTCTTGAGCCCCACCCCCCAATTTTTATCCCTATGATCTTATAGTAGTTAATATGTCTTCCCACTCAAAAACTAAAAGGTCTTTCTAATGTTGCATAGATACATGAGAAAGGATGCATTAACATTCCTCTCTCTGTTTCTGTGCATTATTTTGCATGCAATAGTAGATCTGTTTAGCAGACTTAACTGATCACAATGATTTTGACGAACAAGGACCTCCTAGAAAAGTAGTAAAAGATTCAGGTATTGATTTTATGAACTTGATCTTTTTCTTTTTATATAGGTGAAAAATGCAGCTGCCAATGTACTCAGGGAAACATGGCTAATTTACAAAAATACAAAGCTGGTAAAAAAAATAGATCATGCAAGAGTAAGAAAACATCAGCGTAAATTCTTACAAGCAATCCATCAGTAAGTAGTAATTTTTCTCCCATTCTGCTGTTATATCTGTGGATTTATATTAGGGGAAAAAAGTTTATTTTCAGAGGGCATTAAGTGGCAAAGTAATGCTTTTTTTAGATATGAAGATTTTTAAACACCAACCAATTTGAAATTCCTTGCATATTTGAGAGATTATATATCAATAACATTCATTGAAAGGAATAAAAATCTGATATATTAGTGGATGCTTAACTTATGACTCTCATTTCATGTGTTTCATAATTATTGCTATCACTATTGTTGATGTTTTATTGCCTAACAAAGCATATGAATCTTTGTCATTTGCTCTTTGAGAATTAGGCTGGATCTACATGATACCAGACATCTGGATAAAAACAGAAATCTTCAATAAATTTTATGAATTTAACATAATCAACATAATGCCAAATATTTGGATATTAAGAAATATCCATATAATTGAGTTTTTCAGCTCCTTTCCATTTTATGATCTCACTTGAACATGTCCTTCATATGGTTCTATATCCTTGAATTCTTTCTGTTACCAATCTCTTGCTATTATGCTGATGTTAAAGAGAATGGTTATATATGGTTATATTTTTGTATCTTATAACTCTCATTGAATTTCAAGAAAGAAATACGTATACAATATTTGCTAGTGCATTGGGGGCAATGGTTTTTAGGACTTAGGGACATTCTTCCCAAGGCTGGGATGCATCATACTGTGTATTTTCCTGGGGATATTGACTATATAATTTTATTTCCTTTTACCTCGTTACATTCCCAAGAAGTGGGAATAGATAGTTTTTGGGTTGTTTTTTTTTTTTTACCTCCCAGGATAACTTTTCCAATGTTACCCAGCAAAACAATAACTTTTGGAAGTTTCTTCTGATTATTTGCAATAGTTTATCTAACCAACACAGTATCATTAAGTTTTTGTTGGAGCTTTACAATTCACTCACCCTCTTGTGTACCTACCACTTACTCTCTTTCCCATCAGTCTGTGTGTGGTTTTTTTAATCCAATCACTTTTTTCTGTTAACTGTATATGTTAGTTTATATGTTTGAAGAGCAGATAGTTCTGTATATATTTTTGTTCTTATGGGTATGTGCATATCAGTGCATCTATTGAACAATTGTGTTCGTATTTATTGTAGAACATACGTGTGTATGGGTGGGAGAGAGTCCGTTGTCAAGTCCTTTTGATTCTACCTTTGTAACATCTCTCATATGTGCCTTCTTTCCTCTGACACTGCCACCACTCTGGTCCAGTCCCCCATCATCTCCCACCTGGACTGTTGCAATAACTTGCTTATTGTTCTGCCTTCCTCAAATCTCTCCCCACTCTACTCATCCTCCACTCAGTTATCAAATTGATCTTCTTAAAGCACAAGTTTGACCATGTCATACCCTCTCCCATTCAGCAAATTCCAGTGGCTCCCTCTTACCTCCAGAATTAAATATAAAATTCTCTCTTTGACTTTTAACTGCCTTCCTAACCTTCCTCTCCTCCACCTTTCCTATCTTCTTATACTTTAGTCATCCACGTACTCTGTGATCCAGTGACACTGCCCTTCTTGCTGTTCCTAGTATAAGACACTCCATTTCCTGACTGAGTATTTTTATTAGCTATCACTCATGGCTGAAATTCTCTAGTGGCTTCCCTGGCCTCCTTAAAATCCCTTATAAAATCTTACTTTGCACAAGAAACCTTTTCAAGTCTCCCTTATTTCTAATGCCTTCCCTCTGAGAGATTTATCCTGTCTCAATTTGTATATCCTGATTCTACAGAGCATGTTGTCTACCCAATTAGATTATGAGCTCCTTGAAAATAGGGACTGGGTTTTTTTTTGTTTGTTTTTTGTTTTTTGCTTTTTTGTTTTCCTTTCTTTGTATCCCCAGCACTTAGCACAGTGCCTGGCTCATAGTAGGTTCTAAAAATGCTTGTTGACTGAATGACTGATTAGAGCATATGAAGATGCAGAGACAGGTCTGGAGGGGTAAGTATTAGCATTGTGTGAATAGTGGAAAGCAAATTAATTTTGTTCATGAATGGATATTATTACAAATAGATATATGTATATTATGTATACATGTACAGATACGAATTTGTGCAAACCAAAATACATGAAAACTTTTGGAAAGCATAATCCTAAATATATTAACAAATATTAAAACTGTTTTAGTGGTATTATGGCATGCCATACTTATGCTGGAATGGCCTGAGGGAACACCTGTTGTCTTTAGCTTACATCCGACATTGTCTACACTGCTGTTTCTATATTGATATAAATTTCCAATATTTTAACTTGAACTTTAAGCAATTTTCAAAGACTACAGATCTCATTTTATTAATCAATATTGTGATAGTCCTGGGCATATTGTTTTTAGGAAAACTATATTTTCAGGAGATGTTCAATTGTATGTTTATAAATATGTCATATAAGTTTATTCTGATAATATACAATCTTATTTTACTTTTGTTGAAGTTTAGAAAGTTTTTTGAAAGCGCATAGGGCTCGATTCTTATGGCAAGGTCTTTGATAGGTTTAGACCATTCAGACATAGTGAGAGTTTTTGCCTTCAACTTTGATAATTGAATGAGTACTGAAAATTAATTTGTTTGATAGAGTTCTCCTGATTTTACTAATTTGTAATTACTCCAGGAGAGCTTCATTTGCTAATTTTTGCAAATCTAATGGGTTTTGCTTACTCAATTCTTTTCCATTCCTCCTCTCTCTTCCTCTTCCTCAACTCCCTTAGTGGGAAAGGTAAATCCCACTTCTCAATAACTGACCTCTTGATTTGTACCATTTAATTTTAAAAGAATTTAATTTTCAAAGAATTTTCAGCGACATTTTTCTTTTGGATGGACAGATCTATGTCATGGAGCTATTAGATTCACTGTGTCTTTACTCTTTCCTATGGTGATTTTGGCTTTAAAATTGATCATTTTATGATCCTACTTATAAGTCTGTTGATAAATGTGAACCTTTCCCATAGATAACAGGAGATAGATAGATAAATAGATAGATAGATAGATAGATAGATATTTGAATAATTCATCCATCATATAGATGTATGCATAAAATAAGTCATGATTATCTTGCTCTCATAAAGCCAAGCTTCTGAAGAATCCAAAATGAAATAAGAAGTATATAGAAACTAAAACACAATTTCTGTGACATTGTTTGAAATCTGTTCCTTTAAATCAAATCATACCAGTAGTGCTCACCTTCAATCCAAAATATCTCATGCTATTGTTTCTAATATCAATTCATACATAAAAGATACCAAGACATTTTTATTTTTTTTTTAAATTTCTGTTATGAATAAAAATTGGATAATTCTTTTCCATTTTCAGACCTGCTTGTCTTGAATCATCACTATTACTGTACATGTGACCAGAACTTTGAGGAGAATTTGCAGTCTGGAGGGGATATAGGGTGGGATTCCAGGGGTGGGAGATAGCACTGTGGAAATACTTATGGGGTAAAAAATACAAACACCAGGGTTATTCTAAAGAGTTTTGGTGAACGTAATGAACCTGCAGAATTAGTGCAGGACCTCCCAGCTGGTGAATCGAGCCCCCTGTGTCCATCTGAACACCATTCTATGTTCTTTTGTTCCAATATATTTTACAGTTTCTTTTCTTTTGTTTTGTCTTTTTATTTCAACAAAATGAAAATAGAGCTCGGAAGTAAGTTGTATGAGCTGCTCTGCTCAACATTTGCAGAATTTACTACCGTCTGCATGCAACCAGCAGATCCTTTATTTGTGAATTTCAGTAGTCTGATTGCTACCATAGAAATGTGATCCAAATTCATGGTCTTTTTCTGTGATAAGTGAAGTTCACAAGGAAGGAGTCAATATGTTTCTTACTCTTCTCCTCCCTCTCCCCCCTTTCTTTTTACTTTGAGGGGAGAAACCCACAACCCACACTGCATGTTACCTTTTATTCTGGCAGCTGCAGCTAAAGTAAGACCATTTCCCATTAGATCTTTATCATGATAGTCAGAATAAAAAACAGGAAGTCAAAGTCAGGAGGACTTAACATTTTAAGCAAAGAAAAGTTCAGTTCAGACAGATATGTATAACTTTATTTTAACTTTTCCAAGCTCTGTGAAAAAAATTTGATGGGCAAAATTCTACTGTTAGATATAAGCATAATATTCTCTTGTCTAAGAGATCAACTAGGTGCTATCTCTTGGTATGTAAAATGCTTAACTGATTTTTGCCTGATCTTAAGAGCATTATTATCCATCCCCTCAATATGATTTCAAAAACATAAAAAATTATCTTTGTATTTTATTCCATATGGATCTTCTAGTTCTGTTATAAAACTTCATAGCTGGAAGAGAGCTAAGATGATGATGGTAGTGGTAGTGGTGGTGGTGGTGGTGGTGGTGGTGGTGGTGGTGGTGTGGTGGTGGTGGTGATGATGATGATGATGATAACAGGTAATAACAGCAGCCATAGTGGTTTAATATTTTGGAAAGCACTTTCCATATACTTCGATTTGATTTTAGAAAATATCCAACCTAACTCTTTATTATACAAATAAGGATGCACTTTGTTCAGAGTTAGTGGCAGAGGTGAAACTATAATCCAGGTTTCCATACTTCCTGTCTAGCACTTTCCCTTCACTGTACCATATTGTATATCTTTAACGGACTTACCAATTTAGCATTTTTTAAAAGGTGTCCACAAAGTTAGTATGTGAAAACTATCTCTCACAATGCTACATGGCATTTGAAGGAAAATTATCCTTTGGAATCTTCTGTTTAGGACTGAGGTTCTCAACATTTTTTGTATGTGTCATGGCGGTCTGGTGAAGCTTAAGGACCCATTCTCAAAATAATGTTTTAAATACATAAAATATGTAGGATTGCAACGGTAACCAATTTTACTGTGATATAGTATCAAAATATGTTTTAAGAAGTTCACAGAGCTCAGGATAAGAATCCCTAGTTTAGGATTAGTTTATGACATTCCATCCTTAACCTTTTGGAATGAAAAGGTACACCATATAGTGTAATTTCAATTCAACGAAAAAATTGGTTTAGTTTCAAATAAACTTACAGAGAAATCTCCTATGCTCTCAAAGAAAAGTAAGATAAATAACCTAAAATGATTAGAGATTATTCTTTAAATAAGCTTTAACTACTCAAAGACTATATTGCCACAATGAGGCAGCATTGGTGACATATGGAATATTGCAGTTTCAAAGAATTAGAGATTTGCAGAAATTTCCCTGGCAATATACTCTTGCCCAAAAAGTTAAGGATTTTCCTGTATAACTATTTAAATTATTTAAGTAGTTTAAAGTACTCTTTTTTTAGTTATTGTTTCTGAAATATGAGTAAATTGATGATGGTTTTTAAAAAAGTAATTTTTATTCCAGGAGTAGCTCTGCTTGATCTGTTCATCTTTTAGAGCACAGTTCTGGAGTATTAGTATTCTAATTTGTATTAGGATAAGGACTTTCTTCTTTGAAATGCCAAGAAAGATGGTTTTGGAGAGATTGTCCCAAGTAATTGTTTTCCCATAAGTATTACACAATGTAAGTCAATTTCCAACCCATTGTTTAAAAAAATTATTTTTAATTTTTGCTTCAAGATACACATAAAACAAGATTGAGAGAATATTGCATTCTATTTAAAAAAACTATTTTGCCTCAAAGCATCAATTATTAAAATCTTATATATATATGAATTTGAAAACAAGATAGTTTCCCTACCTCTCAAATTTGTTAAGCAGTTAGAAGTAAAATTCAAGTTAAGTATAGTAAGGAAAAAAGTGAAAGAATTATTAACATTTTGAGTTTTAATATGCTGCTGGTTGAATAAAAGCTGTGTTTAATGAGAATCTCACTTATCACTGTGTTTTCATCAGTCCAAACACTTACCCCAATCCATTCCAGACTAAACAGGGCTAATTATTGTATCTGTTCATATAGGCATAGGAAGGTGTTGAATAACTATAACATTGATGAATACTCAATTGCTATATGTCTTTCTTCCTATGTCTATTTGTCATGATACTGAAGCTTCAAGGAATGTTGTGGCTTTCTCTCATACGAATAAATCCTTATTACCCCTTTTCAAGTACAACTTAAACCACATGGTGGATAATAGTCCTGAGGACATCACATTTCTTGCTCTCTTTTTTTGTGGTGTTAAAGAAGCATGCTTTTCATTATACCAGATACATAACCAATTTTTGACTTTACTGCAAATATTCAAGGCATTATTCATGCAGTTATTTGCTCTTGTTAATTTTGTGCATGCTTTTGGGGAGAAAAAAGGTAAATGAAAGAAAAAAAGAAGAAAACTATCTGATTTTAAATTTTACCTCATAGATTAAGAAGTGTAAAAATGGAACAGAGGAAACTAAATGACCAAGCAAATACATTGGTGGATCTGGTCAAGGTGAGTCAACACATTCCCTTGTCAAAAGCCAGGACTATTCTCATGGTCCTCTAGTCTCAATTTTAAGTGTTTTTTCAAGGGCCATTCAGATGGAATACAATAGAATGGTATTTGTAATTTTTCTTAATACTTGAATGCCCATAATAATTCATTCTTGGGCAAAACAATGTTGTCTGTCATCATCAGACTGAAATATCAAGAATAGAATTTGGTATATGGATTATACTGTGGATATCTTATATCCAATGATGTGTTTCAGAAGGAGGAAAAAAATTAAAAATAACTTCAAACTTAAAACATTGTGAGGTTTTCCAAAGTCCTGGTTACTAGAAGTCTCTCTTTTTTTAGTTTATATCTGTGTTTGCATAGAAGCATCTATAGGCAGCAGATAAGGAGCAACTAGAGATTAGAAAAAGAAGAAATGACAGTGTGGATAATCTCCAAGAGAAGATGGGAGAGGATGGGAACAAGGATACATGGAGAGGAGCTGGCCATGTTGAGGACCATCACCTCGTTAATATGGAGTGAAAAATGGGGGATGATGAGGATGATGTCAAGGGGTTACAAGATGAGGAGAATGGAAGAAAAGGGAGATCCTAGTGAATGGTTATGATTTTCTCTATAAAGAAATGACACAGAAACTGATATTTAGAGAGATAGAGTGATTTACCCCAGGTCAGGCAAATAGTAAGAGCAGAGGTGAGATAGAGGTAAAGTTCTCCTACTTTGTTGCCTATTGGAATTATTTCCAAGGCATTAAGAAGCTTTTGGTTGTTCTTTTTATTTTTTTTTCATTAGAGTTCATTATTAATATTTAAAAGTCACACTCATTTGTATTTGCTTTAGAATGCCAGCTATTTTGTTATTTTTTTTCTTTGTACCTCTGTGTCTAGTGCTTGAAATTGTGTTTAATAATGTTTCCTGAATGAAAAAATGAATGAATTAGTAATAATTGTTAGCATTTATGTAGCATTTTCAGGTTTGCGAAGCTCTTTAAAAATGTCTCATTTCATCCTCATAACAGCCCAGGGAGGTAGACACTATTATTATCCTCATTTTACAGATGAGGAAAGTAAGACAGATACAGGTTAAGTGAGTTGCCCGAGGTCACACAGTAGTAAGTGTCTGAGGTCTGTTGTTGTTGCTGAGTTGTTTCAGTCGTGTCTGACTCTTTGTGACCCCATTTGGGGTTTTCTTGGCCCAGATACTGGAGTGGTTTGCCATTTCCTTCTCTAATTTTACAAATGAGAAAACTGAGGCAAACAGGGTTAGGTGACTTTCCCAGGGTCACACAGCTAGTAAGTGTCTGAGGCTGGATTTGAACTTGGGTCTTTCTGCCTCCAGGTCTAGGACTCTATTCACCTACCTGCCAGTGAATGGATGAATGAGGAGAGACAGAGACAGAGAGCAGAGAGAGAGTGAGAGTGTCTCTTCCCCACTGAACATCACACCAGAAGGGACTCTGTACTAGCTCTGAGTATTTAGCACTCAGTCACTTCTGGGGCCATACTCTCTCTTCAGACTACTTATGTATGTATCATACTCTTCCTTTTCAGACACAAAGCATCATGTATGACATGATTTCTGACATAAGTGAAAGGAGTGAAGAATTTGACAAGAGGGTTGGTAACCTGGAAAATAAGTTAGAGACTTTGATTGGTAACATTCAAGCCCTCCCTGAACTGCTAAGTCAGACAATCAGTAAGCAGCAAAGAGATTTTATGGAAGCTCAGATGCAAAGCTACAACAAGAATGTTGCCTACAGTGCAGAGCGGTCACGGTCCTTGACCCGAAGAAGGAGGTCCTCCTCTACAGCACCACCAACTTCATCAGAGAGTAGCTAGAAGAGAATAAGTTAACCACAAAATAAAAGACTTTTTGCCATCATATGGTCAATATTTTAGCTTTTATTGTAAAGCCCTATGGTTCTAATCAGTGTTATCTGGGTTCTGATGTCAGAATTCTGGGAACCTGAACACAATGTTTTAGGCCAAAATGAGTGAAAACTCTTTTCTTTTCTTTCAGATGCACAGGGAATGCACCTATTATTGCTATATAGATTGTTCCTCCTGTAATTCCACTAACTTTTTATTCATGCACTTCAAACTTTACTACTACAGTATATAATATAATAAAAAATGTTAATTTCTGCACAATTTGCTTTATCACTCCAACATAACTTTGAAATGTGATATTTTTGCATTGTCTTCAAGAGCAAATGATCAGTGAGAACAGCTATGTATCAATAACACAAATTTCCAAAATTTCAGTCTATTAGGAAAAGAAATTAAATTCCTTGGTGCAATATTCTTTCAAATAGCACATAAAATAAGGTCACTAGCACAGCCACCTTTCCATTTGTAAAATTAAGGATTTCTGATTAATTTGCAAGTTAAAGTCTAGGCTCACTTTTATCATGGCAACAATGTCACAGGTGTCACAAACTATTTGACTAATCAGTGTCTTCTCAATTCCATAGAAAATTAGCATGATAATGGTGCCAAGATTAACCCTAAATTCATTAAGCGATATTTTCTTAAATGTAATTCTAGAGTTTTAACATTCTAAAAAAAATAGGTATTTCATAACTTCCCTTTTATTCACTGATCATGGACTAGCTTTGTTGCTTTCAAAGAGCATATGCTTAATAGAAAGGAAAATCAATATAAGGGGTGCTTTCATTTTCATAGACCTTTTTTTAACTATAACATGCCATAATTACTTTCTCTAGGTCTGAAATAAAGTTGGCAACATTTTTGTTCATGTTTCTAAAATAAAGTACTTTTAAGATAAGTCAAAATTCACTTTAGTTATCGATTCACTCTCATGCTCTCTTATCTTCTTACTTATACCCCTTAATAAAAGGCAGAGTGAACAGCTTTCCTCATATAGAACAGATGCTTGATAATAGAATTATGATTCTATGATTCTGCCAATGGTCTTCACTTTGATGTCTAGCACAAAGGCAATGAATGTAAAACAAATACAATTTGAGAAGATATCCCTGAATGATTCCCTCACACCATGACAGTGTTGCTTACTTACATTATTCATCTGGGTGTCCTGTAGGACCTAAGTGAGTCTCTGTTTAGAAAGTCATCTGTATTTTGTAACAGTGTAACATTCAGGTTCCCCCTTCCCCTTCAGTCATTCTGACTTTGGACCCTCAGCATCATTTTCTAACTATCCTCATTGTAATCAATTTCTGGCCTTTGAAAGTTGCTAATATAGGTATATCTTTCTTCTTTACCTGTAGCTAGAACTCTGGTGCAACATATGATGGGGGTAGTATGCCTGGATAAAGTGACTTTCATAACTACTCTTTGTTGTCAGTGCTAAAATCAAACATTGTCTTTCTAGGCCAAAAAGATAAAAGGTGGCATTTCTTAGGAGAACACAGGGACATAATATTACAACCAAAAGAAATCTCAGTGGCCATACATACGCACATCTCCTAATCCCAAATATATTTTTGGTTATATGAAACTTGTCGTCCTAATCAAGAAAAGTTTGTATTTTCATGTGAAAAATCACCCTCTACAAACTTTGGGAAGCACACCAAAAAATCATGGACGTATTTAATATCTTCTTAATATGACGGGAAAGGGAAATAAAAAGGGAACCAGGGGCAAAAGCAATTTATTTGTCTATTTCCACCTTCAACACAAAGGCTAATCTGTTGTAATGATGAGATAGGGTGGTAGTCTAACTATGATTTTCATCTCACTGATCAGTTCACAACTCCAACCCAAAGAACTGAAACTTGAGGAAAGGCTGATGTATTACTAGTCTACTAATAAATATGAGAATTGAGAGATTAAATTATGCAAGTATAGACTGAGGAACATATCTCTAGCCTCCAGATGGTGGGAAAAAATAAAAACTACCTAACACCAAGTAGTCAAAATAAAAAGGTTGAGTGGGAATGGGAAGAGAATATCCAAATATTGATTGTGTTGCAAGCATTGCCACAAGAATGTGTACTTCATACACATCTTTTAAAGACTGGAGTCAAACTAGTGGCAGTTTTGTGTACCTTGACACAAAAAATCTGCAAGGGGATGGGTACTAGAAAGGTCTATAAGCTCCACAAAAGTTCTACTTTCATGTCTCAGGGTGAGCAAAGTGAACTTGGGTTTATACAAAGGTATAACACTGGTCAAGCTCTATCAGGTCCTACCAAGCTAGAAAGGCTTCAAATAAAGACCCACTGTGATAAGTCTAATTATCTACCAGCCAATTCCCCACAATGTTGGTTAGATCCATGCCTCCCTTCTCTCTTACAACATAGTTTAGGTCCACACCCCCTCTCTTCCACCTGTGAGAGGGATTTGTTTTTCCTAAAAGAAGACAAAGCAATTCCCAGAACCTGATTGGCCTGACAGATTCCTGCTTACCAAAGGCCATATAAAGTCTTACCCAGAGCTTCTAAGATTGGTGGTGTCAGAGCACAAGTCACCATACTCCATCCTGATGAGACCAAGTCTAACAAAACTGAAAACTAAGTGCTAGTCTATCCTTATTACATATCCTTACTATGTTAGAACAAAGTAAACCTTTTTGTCTACTTTTCGGTGACTTAGGAATGCCTTATTTTGTCCCAAAGTCAAACCTGAATCAAGAAAGTCCTTGCATTAGGCATTAATTCGAATATTTGGTGGAACAGCAGTTGGGAAAAGATGAGATAGACTTGTGGCTCACATCCTAGTTGAGCTGGGAACAGAGCACTACAAATACTGAGAATGGAGTTATTGGACAATGCAAAACTCCCAGGTACTAGAGACCTCCTGATCTTGAGACTGGCAGTTCTCTCTATGGGACAGGGATAAGGCTTCCATAGAGAGTGATAAGTTCAGTAAGTACTGAAAGAGGCTGCCTAGGAAGGTTAAGAAAGTGCCAAGTTCAGCATTCCCTGGTTGCTGTTTACTATTGTGCATAAGTTAGAACGCAGTATAATAAGAATGATAATAAGACTAAAGACAAAAATATCTCATGAAGCTAAAGCAGTCCTTGGAGGAAAAAATATCTTTGAGAACATACTCTAACAAAATAGAAAAAGAGAGGATTACTAAACTGAATGTGCAATTTTTAAAATTGGAAAAAATCAACACAAGCCCAAAGCATGTTAAAAAAAAAAAAAGAAAAGAAAAATTTGAAATTTAGAGAAGAAACCAAAAACTATAAATAAAACTATAGGCTAGTTCTTGAACAGACTAAGAAAACCAATAAACCCTTTAGCTAACCTGGTTTTAAAAAAAGGAGAAAAATAAAACCACCAAAATAAAGAATAAGCTAAAATCTCAATCAAAAAGATCCATCAGAACCTACTATACACATTTACTGTATATGCAAGCAAAACAGAGAATTTAAAAGAATAGAATATCTACAAGAACATCAACTACCCAACATGAATTAGAAATCCTAAACAATTCAGTTTCATAAAAAATAAATCAAACTAGATGTAAAGGCATGACCAGAGGAGGAGGGGAGAAGAGAGAGAATGGTCCACATGGATTTACAAGTAAATTTTATCCAACCTTGAAGAAGAATTATACATATCTTCCTGCAATTCTGTAATGGCAATGCTTTAATGGCTATGTGTTGCATCTTAACCAGACTTCTATCACCTGCTCCAGTGGCATGATTTCCTCAGAGATAAGAGTTCATCATATCTAGCTAGGACAAGACTGGACCATGTTGCATGCTAGCCAACATCGTGCTATGCCACTGCCCTATGCCCATTACTCTGGTTTCAACTCTTGGTGGAATGATAATCAAATTAACACTGCCATTGCTAGTAAATAATGTGTCGTTCAAGGGTGTATTTCAACTTGCTTTTTTAGTAACAGTGTATTTTTTCTGTGCCTCACCAAGGGCAGGTATTTACAAAGCAAAACATGGTTGGTAGTATAAGTCTGTGGCCATAGAACATGATAAAGCCCATACATATACACATGTACTCATGGAAATGAATGTAGTATCATTAATTCTATAGTATACATACTGAGACCATACCAGTCATGGACAAAGCCTATAATATTTAAGTTGTTATGTGGAAACAATCTACTAAAAAGGGTGCTAATTTAAGAACAAAAAAAATGATTGACAGCTAGTTGTCACAGTGCACAGAGTTCTAGATAGTCAATAAACTTTTATTAAGTGCCTACTGTGTGCCAGACACTTTGTTAAACACTGACAAAGAGAGGCAAAAGACTGTCTCTGATCTCAAGGAGTTCACAGTCTGAGGAGGGAGAGAACAAGCAAGCAAATATGGACAAACAAGTATGGCAACAGAAGTACTGAGTGGGACCGTGGGTGGTGAGGCTCCACTTGGGCAGAGTGAACACTGTTCTTGTGTGGGGCTCAAAGGAAGGCACAAGAGACACCTTTAGCCTCTTTTCCCTACAATCTTCTCCAAAAGAGACTTTCATACCTGCCAGGTAAGGAAACAGGAAGTCGGGGCTGCAAGTCACCACTCTGCTGCCCTCAGAGAGAGGGATAGCAAGCTAGAAGTATTGTTAGTCTAGGGGATATAATCAGGTTCCATCTAACGTTTGATCACTTTGCCATTTTGAGAGGAAGTCACCCAAGCTCTGTATCCAAGGCTTTACCCCTTCCCCACCTAATACCAGTTCCACATAAGCACATGTGGAGAACAGCAAAGAAACCCATTTATCCAAATTAAAGCAAAACAGAAATCAAAGAAGATATACATAGGAAAATATATACCAGACAATACAGAGTGAAGGAGCTCTCCCATTGGGAATGAGATAACTCAACTCAACCGAGAGAGACAGAGAGACAGAGAGACAGAGAGACAGAGAGACAGAAACAGAGAAAGAGAGAGAGACAGAGAGAGAGAGAGGGAAGAGAGAGAGAGTGTGTCCTGGGATCTCACCAAAGGGGACACTCCTCAAATGTTCTAGAGTAGCAAAAGGGACATGATGAAGACTACTCACTCTTCTCATGTCTTCCCAGAGTCTTTTCCTCCAGTAACCTGGAATGGAGTTTGCCTCTTCCATCTTCTCTCTCAAAGCTAGAAGCTGACACTGCCCTCAAAGAAGACTTTTACTTTGAGAGTCACCAGTAGGGAACTGACTGAGAACTGAAATTTGAATCCATCTCCAAATCTGTCCTGCCCATTATGCAGAGC